CCCCCGTCAGAGGTGAGTGTCGCTCCCCAGATCCTGGCCCAGACGCTCCGTGTGAAGCGTTCCTGGTCACTCGTGCACGGGGCTTTTCTAAGGCTAGCAGACCCCAGCAGACAGCTGCCTCTGGGCCAGGCTGGTCATAGACCCTGGCTTGGGTAGTGCTGTGGCATGTGCATGTGTTCATGGTATTCACCAGCTGCCTGCTCAGAAGTGACCGTGCACCCCTGGTGATAGCTTGGCAGCTGCACTCATGTGACTGGGGATCTGTGAGGTGTGGGTTCCTTCCCACCCCCACGTTTTCATGTCTGTAGTCTGGGTGGAAGGAGTTCCTGGCTGGCTTCCAACAGGCCTGTTCTAACCGGTATTCTCTTCTCTCTCTCAGACAGAGTTCATGATGCCGGCATTTCAGCCCAATCCATCCCTTACCCCCAGGCTCCCGTTCCCCATTGGGCCGGTCCCAGTTCCCATGCTCATGCCTAGTGCTGATCCTCGGGCGCTCTCCTTCCCGCTCCTGAACCCTGTCATCTCCAGGCCTAATCAGCCCTCACCCCCTCTGCCTGCTTCCCAAGGGAGGAACAGCCCTGTATTGGCATCTCTTGTCAGCACCCACGGCCCTCACATGACATCTGCTGCCTCTATCCCGCCTCCGCCAGGGCTCGGAGGAGTCAAGGGTGCTCATGAGTTTCACAGGCCACAGCCGGTCGATAAGCTGGAAAAGATCCTGGAGAAGCTCTTGGCTCGATTTCCCCAGTGTAACAAGTGAGTGTCCCTGCCTGGGGTGGGGCCCTACATGTGGGGAAGCGGCTGGACTTGAGTCTCTGAAAAGGTGTAGCCAGCAGTGGCATCGGAGAAGCCCCAGGGTGTGTCTGGAGAGTGGAGCAAGCCCTGAGTATGTGGTTCCAGGAGTAGGGCCAAGCAGTGCCCGGAGCGTTCCCAGCAAATAGCCTGGGGTCCTTTAGTAGCATCAGCAGCTCGGCAGCCGTAGCAGTACCTCACGCTCTGTGCTTCAGCTTTCCGTCTGCATAACGGAGAAGCCTCTGCCTCAGTCAGGGCTTGGGACTGACTGTGGTACCCGTTGGGAAGTGCACTGAAGCCAGTGAATGACGCGTGCTACAGGGCTTCGCGGCGTTGGCCAAGGCCCTTCTGGAAGGGGCTCAGAGACTGTGGTGGGAGGTGCCGTCTGGGCCTGGAATACAAGCGCGCAGTAGTGTTGCATTGCTGTGTTCTAACAGCAAGGCTGGCTGCTGCTGCTTGCCCTACTGCAGGGCTTTCAGGGTGGACATGGATTTTCTGGGTTCACTGGCGGCACTAGACTTGCCTCACCCTAAGGGAGCCCAGTATTTCCAGTGCAATGAGAGCATGGTCCCAGGGGAGGGCGCTCCCTGGGTGACCTTGGGCAAATCACTCCATCTCTGTGCCTCAGCTCCCCACCTGTAACATGGGGTGATAGCACTGCCCTGCCTCCCAGGCGTTCCCCAGGGATCCATGCATGAGAGGTGGGGCAGTGCCTGGATACCACAGTACTGGAGCCATACGTAGGCCGATGGTGCCCTATTGTCCAAGTGCTACAGCCGTCCTTTGGAGGAGAGGATGGCAGTTAACGGTACTGGTGACTGACCTCAGCGTGCGGTTGGGGAAAGGCCACGGCTGACTCCAACCTGTGGCAGCATGTCGGGTCTCTTGCTAGAAGGGGTTCTGGTTGCCGTGGTGAAACAGACCTTCCCGCTGACTGGCACCTGGGACCAGAACTTGTGCCCAGGTGCTCCTGACCTGCTCGCTGTCTCCTCAGGGCCCAGCTGACGAACATACTGCAGCAGATCAAGACAGCGAGGAGAACCATGGCAGGGCTGACCATGGAAGAGCTCAATCAGCTAGTAGCAGCGAAGCTGGCCGAGCATCAGGGCGCAGCAGTGGGCGCTCAGGTGGGTCAGCTGCATGAGGAGTGTCGGGGTCCAAGCGGTGGGGGGAGGGGTCGTATTGAAGGAGGCAGCATTCGGCTCTTGGACAAAGCAGCCCCGCGGCAGTTGGTTGGAGTTCGTCAAAGGAGGGCTGGGCAGGAGTGAACTAGAACATGGTTCTGGTCTGTGCTACTGTACAGGGCCGTTCCCTAGGAAACAAATGGCATCCACAGAGGCAAAACCGGAGCTCCCAGCTTTCCATCCTGGGCAAGGAGGCGATAGTCAGAGTCCAACAGGTCCCCTCCCTGCTGGTCTCCATCACCCCTGTAAATACCCTGGGGTGACTTCAGCGCTCCCTCTAAAACATGCCTAATACCTTTTATCATCTTTGCTAACAGCCACTTGGCCGAATCAGGGCCCCCATGTTTCCTGCTCCTCTGCCCCAGATCAGCGCCCCTATGTTCCTGCCACCGGCTCAGGTGTCTTACCCAGGGACACCGTCACATGTAAGATGTTCTTAGTTACCTGGGAGTTCCTGCATGTTCCCCAGCACGGCCTGCAGGGGGCTGGGTGCACCTTTGCAACCTGTCCCACAGGCTGGGAGGCACCCACAGTGCAGGCTCTGGGCTCTCACCTTAGACTGAGGCGGGAGGGAAGGGCTAGGGGCACAGGCACCTCGCCATCTGCTGGCCATGAGCACTCAGCAAAAAGGGAAGGAGTGAAACAGCCACCACAGCAGGGACAGGTGAGGGCCTGAGGGAACGTACTGGAGTGGGGGCTGCTCGCGTACCAGAGTGCCTGGGATAGGCAAGCATGCGACACTGATGTGGGGCGGGAGAGAGCCCAATTGCGGTATGAACAAGCTGCGCCCTGAGGGAGAAGGTCTGATCAGCGCCACGTAGCGGGTACGCTTCCCTGTCCCCAGGGTTTCCCCATGTAAATATTCAGCGCTGGCAGTGCCCCCCTCCGCACCTTCTTAGTGGGGGTGGGGGCAGGCGGCACTAGTGTCTAGCGGGATGTGAACCCTGGGGGACGCAGGACGCTTAGAGCTGGGTCTGGTGACCGGGCTTCTGTGACTCTCATTTCTGTGTGCACGCTTGCTGCTGTGACCCAGGCCCCCGCTACCTGTAAGCTGTGTCTAATGTGCCAGAAACTCGTGCAGCCCAGCGAGCTCCACCCGATGGCCTGTTCTCACGTGCTCCACAAGGAGGTAAGTGTGGCCTGGGACACCGTCCTCCCGCCACGCAGCAGGGGCCAGCTGCTTGGCCAGGAAACGCTCTTACGTGGCTTGTGTGGTTCCGGGTGCTAAGCCTCTCCCTGGGCCGGGGAGCCAGAGCAAGGCACAGGAGTCCCTGGGAAATGAGGCTCCTAAAGGAAAGAACAGTTCTTCCTGGGGCAGGTGAAGTTAGTGAGCCAACCTTTCCGTGTCCTTTGCCCCGGGCCATTTAGTTGCGGTTTCTAAGAATGCACAGTCCTCTGATTCCTGCTCTAAATGCTGCTCTCTGGCCCTCTCCGTGTTCTGCTCTGGTGTAGGTCAGGGCCAATGGCTGAGCTGGCCCCCATGGAGTGTACATCGCTGTGGGAGCTGTGACTTGTTAACTGGGGGGAGGAGAGGCTGATCTTAGTGCTGGTACAGGAGTCATCTCAGCCCTGGTTCACTAGGGTGAAATGCAGGGGGACAAAGCCCAGTTGTCTGCCCTGTGTGGCTAAGGAGGAAACAGGAAGGCATATAGAGAGAGAATGGTTGCTTTTTGTGTTAGGAGAACCTAGTGATCCTGCCATGTTAAAAAGCTCCTTGCTGTGGACTTGGTCCCCCAGATGCAGAAATCTTAATGGTGCACTCTGGAGCAGACCATCCCTTGGGGATAGCGCCCCAAGCCAGCAAGATACTGGTAGAATCTCTGTATAGCACACCACCTTCGAGTTGGGCTGGTGGCTCCTTATTGACTCTCTCTTTTTCAGTGCATCAAATTCTGGGCCCAAACCAACACAAATGACACTTGCCCCTTTTGTCCAAGTCCTAAATGACAGCCACTCAAACAACGCATCTGTGTTGGAGACGTCGCTGTGAATAGGCAGGATCGGTTCTGAGATTTCTACAGTTCTATATTTATACAACCATGTATACACATGTACATTTTTATTATATAGGTAATGTGTGTATAGAAAGTCTGTATACATACGAATTCATAAATAAAAGTATGTATATTATGCATAGATTTGATATCGTTCCTCCTTTTCAGGTCATGTTTTATAGCCTAGCTGTCTTCATTGCTTTTGTGTCTGTCTGTCACAAGATGCTAGGCGGGCCGAGCCGCTCTGCAGTTGTTGGAACCTGGAAGGAGCAGTGGGAAATGCGGTTCTTTGGTACCACATTGGGCTGTCTGGGCCCATACCTTGCAGTGGAAGAGCTCTGCAAGCCAAGGCTCTTGAGATGAACAGCCCAATATTCAGTGCTGGCCTCTTGGGGGAAGGGGAAGCTTAGTCTAGTCATTGGAGTGCAGGGCTAGCACGTGGGCGACCTGGGCGCTCTACGCTGCCCTGCTGGGTGGTTTGGGACACGTTACTTCTCTGCCTGTTTCTCCACAGGGATCACACTGCCCTATGCACAGGGAGAGACTCTGTTCCTCGCGTGCTTAGCTCCTTGGATGAAAGCACTATCCTGATAGGGGCTGGGCCCCGTGAGCTCCAGACGTGATCCCATTTCTCTCCCACACCTGTCTAGGCCACAGCACTTCCTGCTCCAGTGGGAGAAGGCCTGGGCAGCTCACGAAATGGGTTTCCTACAGTCGTGTCACTCCGTAGTACCTCCTCCCTTAGGTTAAAACAGGTAAACTATCTGTAGCCCAAGGGACCACGGCCGAACAGAGGGTGAACGTTGCACACGGCGTCAAAGGGTGAATGCAGTCTGGGTGGGGGGACACGGACACAGCAGCATCCTACACAAACAGTCGCAGCCCAGCACGTGGAACTGGCCTCACTTAGTATGCTGTAGAATGGTGCTGAAGCTACCATTAAATTGGCAATTCTCAAGCCTCCCGTGAAGTGGACAGCAGCAATGCAAGCTTCCCTCCTCCATCCTGCCAGTATCTCAACCCTGCCTTTATGGTTTGTTCAGTCTTTGGCCACCGCTGAGCCCCCACCGCTGGTCTGTTTGTACTGTAGACACCTTTCCCTGTGCTGAAACAGGTGTGTCTCTCGCAGGAGCCCCAGCCTGACTCACAGGTATTGCTGGCCTGGGCCGGATTTGAGATGAGGAGCCAGGCTTCCTATCTCGCTAGAGGAGCTGTTTGCAAAGCACGTCCTGCCAATATTCAAACCTTGGAACAAACCCACCCTAGCTGAGTCGCTCGTCTTTGCTTTCTGCAGTTATGCTACTCGGGGGATTGCTGGCAACAGCAACTTCAAATATTAGTCCCAAAATCTGAGTTAATGATCATCCAGGTGTGCATGGAAATGAACTACATTATTCTGCCTAATGCTGCTGCACTGTTAAATACCTGGCCTGAGCAGCAGCCCAGGGGTTGTTGGAGAAATTAAGCAAATAATTTCAACCTCCCACTACATCTGAGAAAAGCATGAGCTGTTAGTGGCATTTGTGTTGCAGTGTAATGGGTCAGAGGTTCTCCCTCGCCCTACCCCATTCCTGGCCCGTGAGCCATCCCCACCTGTTGAGAACGTACAAAGAGGGAAATGCTGAACTGATAACTAGAACTCCGCACCCTTGTTACCCAATGCGCTTGCTTCCACCATGACCGTTGTGTCTTCCCAGGGTACCCGGGACATCTGGGCTCACTAACAACTTCAGTGCATCTCACGGAGTTCTCCACTCAAGTCAGGCACTTCTCTTACCTGCCCTAACCCTAAAGAGCCCTCAGCAGCTCAAAGCCTTCCACAACCTTCCCCCCTGTCCTTCCTTGCACTCGGAGTTGCCCCCAGACAATGAACAGGCGGTGAACACAAGGCTTTTCTGTTTAATGTAATAATTTACTGTGTAACATTCATTATTCTTACATCGACATTAGGGTTACAGAGTATGGGCGTCTATAGTAGCCGCTAAGAGTAACTATCCCCACTCCTCGTCCCGCTCCCCAAATGGTGGGGCAGAGAGCGGGACGCACGGTGTGGTCGTCGCAGGCGCTGTTACTCTAACCCAGGGCCCATGGGACGGGAGTTCTTCAGGAGATAACGCTGGCTGCGCTGCAGCTCAGAATAACAAAGCTTTCTAGACCCAATTTGCCCCCTCTGAGCTCTTCTTCCTCCATCGGGCTGGTGTAACCAGTGATCTCTACTGATTTCAATGGGAGTTAATGGTGCCCAGCACCTCTCAGGATCTGGCCCCTGCTTTGTAGATTCTGCACAGTCCCTGCGACAAATTCAGCACTGGTGTAAGCAGCTGCAACTCCACCGAAGTCAATGGAAGTGTCACTCGCATGCAGCACGGCTGCGTTTGGCCCCCGTCAGTGAATTTCTGCACCCACACGGTCGTTTGAAAGGAGTGGTCCAAGCGGAGTGGGGTCCCGGAGGTGTTCTGGGCAGGCACTGGGGCGTGGAGGTTTCAGTTGCATAACTTCCCCCTGGGCTGGAGTCAGGCTGCTGCCTGAGTGCAGGACCAGAGCAAGTTCTGGGAACCAGATGGCACTGGTAAAAGCAAAGCCTCTGTCTCTAGTGAAGTGGGGAGACACTGGGCTGGGGAACATCTGCTACTGAACCAACTTCTGCTGCTGAGAGGACACGCGTTGGAGCCACACAGAGCTCTTCTGCAGGGCTGACCTGTCTGTAAGCTCGAAAGTGTGTCTGTCTCACCCACAGATGTTGGTGCAATAAAAGACATTACCTCACCCCCCTGTGTCTCTCTAATCCCTGGGACCAACACTGCAAACAACAGTGAAGTAGGTTGATGGTGGGGGTGGGGTGCTGCAGCTGGGCCCACAGTCAGAGTTCACTTGGCCCAGCCAGTTTGTAAGGTTTCTGGCTATGCAGTGCAGGCTTCTTAGCGAGTGATTCACTGCAGGGACTCCTTGCTGCTTTCTTTGCGGGATATTTAAGTAGAAGGGCCACCGGACTGTCCCTGCCCGTTGCTTGTCACTCTTTATGCTGTTAATTCTCTCACGCTGGCCCGGCCAGCCTGTGCTGCTGGGGAACGTTACCCAACAAGGTGATTCTTGTACCTGCCTATGTTTGCTTTTCTCCTCCACCAAGGCTCAAAGTTGGGCCTACACTCCTTGCTCCTGCCCCTTGGAATTCCCCAGAGCTCTGTTTAGCCTTCCCTCGGGGGTCATGGCAGCAGCTCCTCTCCAATCAGCCCAGGAAAAGTAAAGTGGGGTCAGAGATTTGCTGTTGTCTGAGCCACTGACATATTGGAATCAGCTGGGGCTAGAGCTCAGGGTCAGTTACTTGTCTTCAGGGCAGAGGAGAGCCCTGCAGTCTGCCCTCCATCTTGCGCTGTCTTGCTGCCCTTGGAACTGTTCTTGCACCGTGCACGGGAAGTTTCCAGTAACACTGCTCCCACCAGCACAGCCTCTCTGGATCCCAGCTAGCAGGTGAGACGTCTCCACTGAAGAGAGGTTTTTTCTCTACCCTCTTTAGGAGTCAATGGTTCCTTCACAGTTGCAGCTGCCCCTGCACTTCCCTCGGACAATGAAGCTAGTGCAGAAGGGCAGGGTGTGGTGCTACTATTCGTCTGTGAGGTACAGCTGGGATCTGAACCCCCGCCTCCCAAGCCCCTCTGCAAAGTGACACGTTCTGCATTGCTCCCAAATGGCCCAGCTTTATCTTGCTGGGCCATTTAGTGGCACATTAAACCCCAGGTCCCCTGTAGGAACTGCATCAGCAAAGCTCTGTAACAAGCACTTCCCAGGCTGGGCAAATGTTCCTACAAACAGCTAGTTTCCTCGGTTGTCTCCTTCACTGGGCTAAAAGCTCAGGTGTTTGCGGTTGGCTGAGTGCCTTCCCCTGCCCAGGCTGCTCTGTACTTTTCAATCTCGCCATGAAGGCCTACCCATCACCTTGTGCTGTGGCTAGGAACAGCAGTGTTACCAGTTCCCCAGGAGGAGTCGCCTGCAGGATTAAGTAGGAAGAAAACCCACGTTGAGAAGGAACAAAGTTGCTTTTTAAAGCAACAATTAGTACCAGAACTGAAGCACAATGTGCAGGCCTTGATCACTGGGATTCGGGGGGGGGGGGTCTTCTGTAGTAGGAAAACCTCCCTGAACAGAAAGGGGACAGAAGCAAAACCAGCCTTGAGCGATACATTTTTTTGGGTTGCGAACCGCTGCTGTGTCCATGATCTAATTTCACCCCCACAACCCAGTGCCCCCATCCCCTTCACCAGATATATTACCAGCAATACATCCATCACCACAAATGCCAGATCACCAACGATCCATAAAGTACTTCCATCAGACAAACCACTGCTAAGCACCCCTGACTTGCAGCCTGGCTCCTTTGCCCACAACCAAAGCAGGGTGCTTAAAAACCCACAAACCCCCTCAGGCTGGGTTTGCAATGAACCAGGGGCTTTCAGCACTAGCATTAAAAATATAAAAATATGTATATATTGTACAGGCAAGAAGCATTCAGTATTGGTACACTCACACACAGCACAGCCTGCTACGTACACACGCTGCCCTCTGCTCGAGCACAACATCCCCGGCCCTTTGCCATTATAAACAAGGAACATTAAGTACAACCATGTGTTTCAAACACACTAATGATGATGATGAGGTGGCTGCTGCCCACCCCCCAAAATAACAAGCTATTTAGTGTGGTGGGCTGGGGCACTGCCTTCCCCCACTGCAGCCAGAGGCAGATATTCCAGGAGGAGCTAATCACCTTGGATGGTTAAGTCCAGCACAGGGAAGGGGTTTTCCCCTCCGGACCAGATGCAGTATGAGGCGATCCTGTCTTGTGCAGCGCACCTTCCATGCAGGGGCTCCTGGAGGAGGCGACCCGCAGAGGCAGCTCTGGCTTCCCTGGGGCTTTCCCAAGCAGGCCGGGTAACAGTCTGGTTTCGTGGCTTACACACCTTCCTTGGCTGCTGGTCCTGTCCCAGGGCTGGGTGCCATCCCGCCGCAGCAGAGGCTGCTGGTTCTCCCCCTGGTGCTGCAGAGCGAGGCCCGTTGAAAGCTGCTGTGTGCAGCGCTTGGCAGGAGAGTTGGGAGCCAGAGCAGGTTAGGCTCTTTCCCATGATTTGCAGCCCAGGCAGAGACGAGGGGAATGGATGGTTTGCCCTGCCCCCACCTTTCCCCAATTCACTTCCCAGGGCCAAAGAGATTGAAAAGTGGAGGAACATTGTACCCCTCCCCCATTCCTTCCCTGACCCCAGCAGGGGCTGCCAGAGCTGCCCCCTTAGCGGCACTTCTCTTGGGGAGCGCAGGGAAGTAGCCGTTCCCTAGGAGCTGCAGGACGGGCTGGCGACTTATCCCTAGGTCAACTGGTCTAAGCTGCAACCCCTGGAGCAGAAAACCCCCTTGCAGCCTGAGGCGCCCAGACATCACTCCACCAGCCTGCAGCGAGCGGCCCGTCTCCAGCCCAGGCATGGACAGCTCCCCTGGAGAGAATGCTCCTCGGCCCACCTAGGCAGACCCCGGCACTCATACCTGGGACGGCTGTCCTGCTCCCGTACGACACCATGGGATTGTGGTGGCCGCACACAGTGCTTAATCTGTGCCGGACTTGCCGGGGGCTCGGCAGTTCAGAGCCCCGGCACCTCTGGGTTTGTCGTGTCAGTTCTGAAGGTTAAAAAAATTGCTTGAGCCTCGGCACCTCTTTCATTACCAATTAAGCACTGGCTGCACACGACAGCCTTCAACCCCCCTGTGAGGAGGGGGCTGGCCCGAGGGGGGCCCCCAGAGCCGGGTCAGTGAGGAGCAGAAGAGATGCAGGAGCCAGTTGGGGGAAGATCCGTTCTCTCTGCTCCCACTTCACCACAGCCAAGGGCCCTTGAGATGCAAGCGGTCGAGTCCAGCTCATGCAGGCAGCCCACGGGGATGGGAGGAGGGCGGGTGGGGTGGGGAGAAGGGGGCTGCAGCAAACAGGACAGCGACATGCGCACACACAGCACTGAATGGCATGGACCCTCCTGAATGCCATTGTGTGTCTGTCGCAGCGATGCCTGGCAGGGGAAAGGGGAGCTGGGTGGTTAGGCTGACTCGCTGCTAGAGGCCAGGCTCACCGCAGCTCCTGCGCTCTAGCTGAGAGGCCCAGTCCCTCCCGATGCCGGAGTGAAGGTGCTATTGGGTAGGTCTTTCCAGTTCAGAGGTCTGAAAGGGGCACCTCCCAGGAGAGGAGGCCCAAAGCTTGACCCGCCGGCATTGTACATTAGTGGCTGCCTGGGGAGGAATATCCCCTGGATTCTAAATGGCTATTTTAGAATCTACCACTGTTCACAATGTTTGAAAACCCAAACTATTGAAATGTAATGACCATGGTTTATGTAGGCCCTACACAAAAACAATGTTTTGGGCTCCCTCTGCAGCAGCAGCGGCTAACAAGCAATGCTCAGACCTGGGCTGATTCCTCCACGGACTCTGGGGATGTGTCTACACTTGGTTGTAAACTCGGGTCTGGGGACCTGGGCTGTGCACTTGGTGTTTCCACACTGCGCTGTAAACCTGGGTTGACAGCTGCTGCACCCGCCTCTCCCAGCCGTGCTCCCGGGTCCTTGCCGCACGACACAGACCGTCTGACTCGGGCCTGAGGCTCTGAGCCGTGTCCACACCGCAATGTAACGGGGCTTGGACCCGAGCCTCCGTAGGACGCGGACCCACCCCAGCAGGGTCCTGAGTGCTGGCTGACCTGAGTCAGACGGGTTTGTGTGTGGACGGAAGTGGGACTTGGGCTCAAACGTGAGTCAGAGCCCGGGCTTAGAGTGTGGCATAGGCGTACCCTGGAGCACAAGGGCTGCGGTTTGGCGAGGCCGTATCCCGAACAGGGAGAGGGAGCGAGTCCACGTTGGCCAGAGACCAAAGGGGTTTGATTCCCAGGCTCTCCGGGGCTGCTGCACGCAGAGGGGAGTTAAACAGCGAGCAAGCTTCAATGTACTCCATGGTGACCTTATAAACCTGCCGACAGGCCCAGCGTCCTGGCCTGCTGCTGAGTCTCACCCGTTGCTCCGGCGCCCACTCCCAGGGCAGAGCCAACGGCTCCAGGCAGTGTTGGCTGAGCCACTGGAGGGGGCAGGGGAAGAACAGACCCGGCTCTGGCCTGGGGCAATGGCTGGTGCTGTTTCCAGCCCCAGCCAAACTCTGTGGGCAGAGGAGCCTGTGCGGATGAGCTCAGCTCACGCTCTCCCTCCCTGCCTCCCCCGGCCAGCTGCTCCCTCGCGCCAGCAGAGCGGGTGTCACTTGAGCAAGGATATGTCATCGGCGAAGTCGTTGTGGTCCCGCCGCAGGCAGCGGAAGCAACGCCACTGGAAGACCATGAGGCACAGCGGCAGCATGAAGAGGGCACAGATGGCCGCCATGACGTAGGCGATGGTCATCAGGGTGGACTCGTCCGTCTGCGGGATGTTGTAACCGCAGTCCTCCATGTTGGGGTGCACGTAGGGCCCCTCCACTGCCGCCGTCCGGAACTCGTCATGCACTGCGGACAGGACCCCCAGCTCAGTGCACCAGTGATGGGCGGCTGGCGCGGGGGCCGTGGCTACGCTTTGCTCAGCAGAGGGCAGCGCTGGCGCCAGGAGGGAGACCAGGGCTACCCCGTATGCACGGCCTGACGGTTCAGAGACAGCGTCGGAGTGGCACGAGTGGGCCCCGCGAGCTCCCCAGCTCAGCCCTGGCCT